ATTGCTAAGGTTTCAGTAGGAATCTTTTAAAGATCTGAGTTAGAATTTTGGTTCTTTTTTAATCCATAAAAATATTTTAGTATAATAAATAATTTGTTCTGTATTTATAGGTTTAAAGGCTTCCTAGCTAGAAATTTAACCAGGGTTTATAAGATTTCTTTCTTTCTTTTTCTTTTTTTAAAAAAATATTTTATTGATTTTTTTACAGAGAGGAAGGGAGAGAGATAGAGAGCTAGAAACATCGATGAGAGAGAAACATCGACCAGCAGCCTCTTGCACACCCCCTATTGGGGATGTGCCCGCAACCCAGGTATATGCCCTTGACCGGAATCGAACCTGGGACCTTTCAGTCCACAGATTGACGCTCTACCACTGACGCTCTACCGGTTTTGGCTATAAGATTTCTTTTAAAGGGAGAATGTGACCTTAGTTCCAAATAATGTATTTACAATTAAACATCTTTAACAGAGCTGTCATTCATAAGCTTGGGGTTGCCTGTATATATAAATTGTGCATATTTTTAGAAAGTAGCTTATTTAGTTACTGGCGGTCCAGTGCATGGATTCATATATCAGTGGGGTTCCTTGGCCTGGTCTGAGGATCGGGCTGAAACCAGCTCTCCAACATCCCCTGAGGGTTCCCAGATTGCAAGAGGATGCAGGCCAGGTGGAGGGACCCCACCAGTGTACTATTGGGGCCAGGGAAGGATGCGGGAGGTTGGCCAGCCAGGGGAGGGACCACTAGAGGGCTCCAGCGTGGGTCCTGCCCATCTTTGCTCAGTCCTAATTGGCCGGACCCCAGCAAGCTAACCTACCAGTCGGAGAATCTGCCCCCTGGTGGTCAGTGCGCATCATAGCAACTGGTTAACCAGTTGACTCTCTGCCCCCTGGTGGTCAGTGCACATAATAGCAATTAGTTGAGCGGCCTTAGTATAGTACCCTTTGATTGGCTGAACAGATGACCGACAACCAGATACTTAGCATATTAGGCTTTTATTATATAGGATAGAAGCTATCACTTAAAAGACTAGTCTTTTGGCCTATAGTTATTAGTAATCATTTATCTCTCTGATTGTGTGTGTGTGTTTGTGTTTATTTCTTAAATTTGAGGTAGGTAGTATAGGACTAGTGCAACAGGTCCTTGAATAATGTTTTGTTTTAACATTGATGATGTAAACATTGTTCTAACATTGTTTACATCAATTAGCCTATGGTAAAATTGGTTTCATCATATTTTGTTTCACTTCTAGTCACAGAATCTATCAATGATGTTAGCTGAGAATTATTGTACAGTGATTCTCAAACTTTAGCATCCAGCAGAGACACCTGGAAGTCTTAGAACATAGATTGATGGACCCCATCCTCAGAGTTTCTGATTCAGTAGGTCTGGGATGGAACCTGAGAATTTTCATTTCTAACAAGTTTCCAGGTGATACTGCTGATGATGATCAAAAGACCAAACTTTGAGAACTGTTGTTCTAGTTTATTAATTACTTTTGGTCTTTATTTTAGTCTTAAAAGAGGGAGTGAGGTACCTCTCTATATAAAATATTTGTATATGAATGGAAAATTTTGCTGTCTTTACATTTTTTAAAATTGTAGAACACAACTTTAACAATGTCACCTGACATACTTGAATGTTTTTCATAGCACCTACAAACTTGAAGATGAATTCCTTGGTGCAATTTTTTAAATTTTACTGATATTAATAAATTAAGTTGTTTGCCATAATGATAGCTAATATTGAGCTCTTGAATCAGCTCATTTAATCTTTTCTTTTTTTAAATTGAATTTATTGGGGTGACATTGATTCTCAAAAGTATACAACTCAACAAAACATCATCTGTACACTGCATCATGCACCCATCACCCCATGTAAAGTCTCTTTCTGTCCTCATTTCCCACCCCTTTGCCCACCTCTACCTACCCTCCAGTTCCCTTTCCCTCTGGCTAACACCATGCTATTGTCTGTCTCTCTCTCTCTCTCTCTCTCTCTCTCTCTCTCTCTCTCTCTTTCTGTGTATTTTTGCTTAATCCCTTCACTATCTTTCAGTGCCCAACACTCTTTCAACCTGACAGCAATCAGTCTGTTCCATGTATCCATGCCTCTGTTTCTATTTTGTTCATCACTTTATTTTGTTCATTGGATTCCACATATAAGTGAGATCATATGGTATTAGTCTTTTTCACTTAGCATAATTATCTCCAGGTCCATTCATGCTGTCTCAAAGGGTAAGAGATCTTTCTTTTTTTTTTTTTTTTTTTTAAAAAATGTGTTTTTATTGATTTTAGAAAGAAAGGGAGAGGGATAGAGAGATAGAAACATGGATGAGAGAGAAATATCAGCTGCCTCCTGCACGCCTCTCACTGGGGATTGAGCCCACAACCAAGGTTTGTGTCCTGACCGGGAATTTATGACTTCCTGGTTCATGGGTCAACACTCAACCACTGAGTCACACCAGTGGGGCAAAATTTCCCTTTTCAAATGGCTGAGTAATATTTCATTTTATATGCACCAGCATTTTTAAATCCTCTTTTCTATTGAAGGGCACTTGAGTGTTTCCAGATTTTGGCTATCAGCTCATTTAATTAATTTATGTGCTCTAGGTGAAGTACCTTGTCCCAAGCCACACGTTGTGGGACAGAGCTGTGATTTCAATACTGGAAATCTGTCTCCAGAGGGCAAGCTCAAAATCACCATACTCTACTGCCTTTACAAATGTAGTATATCTGAAATTGAAATAACATTAAATTTTGCAATTCTGGAAATTTGTTGTAATTTTAATTTATGTCTGTTTAGTGGGGTTTTGCTATTTTATTTATCTCTGCAATCACTTTTCATCTCATTCTGTGTATCTCATTTCCAAGATTTTCTTATTCTATTGAGTTCATTACTACTAGTTTTATTTTTCTGTAACTATTAATATATATAGATACTTGTGAATCTCTCTCTATCCTTTGTTTTCTACTTTCTTCCAGACTAAGTTCATTTGTCCTTAATATGCTTTTCTTTTTTTGTGGCTAATGTAGTAACCACAGCATTTTTTTTTTAAATCAATCTTTATTGTTCATATTATTACAAAGGTTCCTCATTTCTTCCCCCCTCCACCAGGTTCCCACCCCACCCTCCGCCCCCTCCCCATCCCCCATTGTCCTCATCCATAGGTGCACAGTTTATGTTCAGTCTCTTCTTCCCTCCCTTTCCCCGATAGTAAATCCCTTTTCAGATAGTAATTCAGTTACTTAGCATTTTCTCATATTAATAATACCTCCACATGCCCAATGATACACTTCACACAAAAGACATTTCCCAGTAAGTCAACTAGCCTCATCCAGGCCCCACCCAAGACACTCACAGATCAACACCCCAGCCCTATACTAACTCAACACATCCAGATCTAAGCCTTCATCACTTGATTCAGCAGACCCTCAAGTTCCCGCGAAAGTGTCCAGCCATGTCTGAGAGGCAGCCGTGGGGCAGGGGCAGGCGAGGAGCGAGCTGTTCCAAGCCTGGCTGCTCAGGGCCTGGCCTCTGTTGCTCTGGTTCGTTCCACAACCAGCTGCTCCGGGTCTGGTCACTGCTGCTCCCAACCTAGTTGCTCTGGACTTGGCTGCTGCTGCTCCGGGCCTGGCCGCACCAGACCCGGCTGCTCCGGGCCTGGCCGCTCCCAGTCTGGCAGCTCTTGCTCCGGGCCTGGCCACACCCGACCCAGCTGCTCCCCCGGGCCTGGCCGCTCCCAGCCTGGCAGCCGCTGCTCCGGGCCTGGCCGCACCCGACCCGGCTGCTCCCCCGGGCCTGGCCGCTCCCAGCCTGGCAGCTGCTGCCCCGGGCCCGGCCGCTCCGAGCCTGGCCACTCCCGGCCTGGATGCTCTGGGCTTGGCTACTGCTGTTCTGGGTCTGGCTGCTCCCCTGCTGGTTTGGTCCCCTCCAACTGCCCTCCCCTGCAGACCTGGTCACTCCCAACAGCCCTCCACTGCAGGCCTGGTCCCCCCCCAACTGTCTTCCCCTGCAGGCCTGGTTCTGCCCCAAGTACCCTCTCTGTAGGCCTGTTCCCCCCAACTGTTCCCCCTTGCAGACCTAGTCACCCCTAACTGCCCTCCCCTACAGGCCTAGACCCTCCCAACAGCCCTCCCCTGCTGGCCATCTTGTGGCAGCCATCTTGTATTCACATGGGGGCGGCCATATTTGAACACATGGGGTGGCCATCTTGTGTGTTGGAGTGATGGTCAATTTGCATATTACTCTTTAATTAGATAGGATACCCTTCCTTTCCTTGGTATTTATTTATTCTAAATCCTATCCAGAACTCTAAGATTGTTCTTGAGTGTACATGCTTCATTTGTCCTTTGCACACTCTCCCAACTGTCCACCTTCCTACACACAGACAAATATTACTATTTCATTTTGAATTAATAGCATCATCAAACATGGCACTTAAGCTGCCCACCTGCAAATCATTGATATAATACTGACCCATGTTTTTTCAGTAATTTAGGTAGTGGTTTTGTCTTTGTCAGCAATGTTATTAATATTTTGGGCTTATTTCTCAGTAGTATTTAAAATATACCTTTAAATTTCTTTGGGGTTACTTTTTTGTGGTTGTTTTAGTGTTAGATTTTGTCAATTCTGTAAGGGAAAAACCTATAATTGATGGGAAAATGCAAATGCATTATAAATAACTTGTTTTGGCTACAGTTTTTTAATAAGTACTTTTAATTGTGTGATGTTTTGGTTTGTGATGAGATTGAGAAAATAATTGGCTTATAAACAACATTTAAAACTCATGAATGTTGCAAATGATTTAGAGTTTAGAAGTCTAAATTAAGCTTAACAATATTAATTGGTAATAATGGCTATATATAAAACATATATGTGTGTAAGTAGTAAGGAAATAATTCACAACCCTGTGCAAGTTAATTTTTTTCAAATTAGAAACTAAATTGTGACAGCATATTTTAAATCTTTTTACATTTTATTTATAGTCTTTTTTAAAATTTTAGTTTCAGTCTGATGGAAGCAAACAAGAAGATAAAGAGAAAACGGTAAGAGACTAGAAAAATCCAATGTGTCCAATGTTTGTCTAGGTACAGCATACTGCAAATTTTACTGTGGACAAGTTTTCATTACCTGTGTGAACAATTATTATACAACTTATAAGATTGACAATCTCCTGTTTCTGAGGATTACCATGTGAAGAAGGAAGAGGGATAATAAAAGCTCCTCATTTTCTAGCTACTTCTTTTCTTCCCTCACTTCATTTGCTTTCTTATATAGAAAACACAACCATTAAATGGAAAATAACAGTGATAGTGTGGGGAATTAGATATGGTGTGTTATGTGATTTTTAAAAAATGGCAATTTTCTCTAGGCTGACAAATTTATTTGTGGGGGGATTAATATGGACCTCTTACTAAAATATTTTTTTTTCTTTCTTTTTCTTAGGAAGTAATCCTCAGCTGTTTGCTTAGCATTACTGACCAGGTACTACTTCCATCTCTTTCTTTGATGGACTGCAATGCTTGTATGTCTGAGGAACTATGGGGAATGTTTAAAACATTTCCATATCAGCACAGGTAAATATGTAATATTTTTGTATTTTGAACTACTATTTTAGTGCATTAACCTCAAAGGGTTTAACTTTTCCTAATTTTTCATCTCATTTTTTAAGGTATCGTCTGTATGGCCAGTGGAAGAATGAAACTTACAACAGTCACCCACTTTTAGTAAAAGTTAAAGCTCAAACAATAGACAGAGCCAAATATATCATGAAGTAAGTTTTAATTTTCTTCATATTGATCTAAAATATATCTAGATATAATTTACTTTCTTTCAGCCAGCTTATGTCTGAGCCTCAGTTTTGAAGAAGCCCAAGAATATTTCCTAATGGCGTAGCTAATTATATACTGCAGACAGAATGACTTTAGATTTTTGTGGTTTTTAGCTCCTATTGACTACCAAGTTAGTTTTTGAAATTGTGTTTGCATAGCTATGAAATCTAATAAACATCCTTTTTAATACATTAAGTATAGTTTTTTTTACATTATAGGATTTTTTTAAAGTACAACCTACTGTGGCCTTTGCTTAATTTGCATAATACATTTAATGGCTTGTATAAGGTAATCAAAGGTCTAGGAATTTCTACTGCTAAAAGTGATTATAAGAAAGATTTCCTTTTGGAAAATCTAATAGAATTATGCAGAGCTATCTCCATAGGAAGTCACCTTTAAAAAAATTTAAATTTCTTTTTATTTGTGTGCTTTATTTTCATGTCATTAAAAGCACAAGAGTGATGCTTTTTATTTTTACTTTCTGGTAAACTGTTTGAAGTTTAGTTATGAAAAATTTATACTTCACATTAATATTGGTTTAGATAGAAATATACTGCTATATTGCAAATATTTTTAGCAAGGCTGTTTATCATTTCTTTATAATTCATACAGTAGTATGATTATTCTAATACTCATAAAACAGTGCATTCTCTAGAATTTAACTAGATTTCACCATTTGTGACATTATTGTTTTTGCCCAATGATATTGTTCCTGGTCACATCTACTGGGAAATGTGTGTGCACATTTACATTCTGGTTTTTGCCCAATGATATTGTTCCTGGTCACATCTACTGGGAAATGTGTGTGCACATTTACATTCTGGTTTATACAGTATGTATAAAATTCTATGGGAAGTTAAAGAAGATAGTGAATTATTTCATGCCACGGAAATTAGGGAATGCACAGAAAGAGATAATATTAGAACTAGTTCTTTTGAAAGAGTTTTGGTCTTAAGAATTCCTCAGGTTAAAAAAAACCAGAATTCCCCAGGTAGAGTTCCAGCTAATATTTATGAAGCCATTATTGTGTGTGCCAGCCACTGAACTAAGTGCTTTATATTGATTAATAATATATTGAGTATTATTAAATCTCTTGAATATGTCTCTTCCACACTCTACTGCCATTAACTTAGTTCTTTTAATCTGCAGTATTACAGTGCCTTGTATTCTTTCTTCAAAAATCCTTTAGTGACTAACAATTGTCACAGGTCATATGTTAAATTTTATGGTATGGTAAAATAAGAGGTCCTCCATGACTTGTCCCTCCCTATTTTCAACCTCATTTCCTGCCAGTTCTACCTCCAGCTGTACTGCGCCCTCTTATGTTTCCCTGAATGTGCTACGGTCTCCTTTTCCTTTGTATATACACTGAGTGGCCAGATTATTATGATCTCTGAATGCATAATAATCTGGCCACTCAATGTATATCCTATATAATAAAAGGCTAATATGCAAATTGTCCCTTCGACCAGGAGTTCAACCAGCAGGCAGGCTGGCCAACCGCCCATGTCCTCTCCCCCGGCCAGGCTGGGCATACCCCACCCATGCACGAATTCATGCACTGGGCCTCTAATATATATAGATTGAGTGGCCAGGTTATTATGCATTCAGAGATTATAATAATCTGGCCACTCAGTGTATTTTTGTTGTTGTTTTTTTATGTTCATATAATTTTTTTTCTTATATCTTTTCTCTCTTTGTCTGGTGACCTCATACTCTATGGGTGGGCTCCAGTGTCACCTTCTCTGTGAAGCTTTCTATAGTACATACTGCGAAGCATAATTGATCTTTATCTGTGCCACCACTGTCCCATATACATATAATGCTATCTATCACTTAGATACATTACTATGATTTTCCTTTTTTAATTATCTAATTTTTGAATAGTTTATATATTTACAATGTTTAAATTTCAGTATATAGAAAAAGGTTGGCAAGAAAATGCCTCTCACCTCATTCCACTTTCCATTCAGTCCTCCCAAGGGAAAAAAGGTACCGGTTTAGTTTCTTATTTATCCTTCAAGACATTTTTATGTATATACAATTGAGTACAAATATATTCTCCCTTATTTTATTATTGATAGCACATAATAAGTACTGTTCTGTGATTTCCTCTATTTAAGAATATAAACATTTAGAAAATGGTTTTAACTCTGTCTCCTCAGTTGGACTGAGCATGAAGCAGGAGCTGTTATTCTCCTTTTTCCTAAAATGGTTTTAACTCTGTCTCCTCAGTTGGACTGAGCATGAAGCAGGAGCTGTTATTCTCCTTTTTCCTTTTGGGTTAATATTACTTTGCCTGTCATAGAAAACATTAATATGAATGAATAAATTAATAAAATTTTCACAGCATATGTGCAGAATTTTAAATGTACTTGTATTTGTGTTAGCTATATTTCACCAGGCTTAAATAGTGTGATTTTGTTATTGATTGAACTTGTTATGTTGAGAATGGAATGTATTAATTTATTATTTGCAGAATTTTGCAAGTTTTGATCACTGTTTAAAAAGTGAATTTGCTGTAGGGCATCTAATACTTCGTTCTGCAAATACTCATTGTGTTCCATATGCCAGACACCATGGTAGCTTGAAGGGAAGTTATAATTAAGAAAGTATTCCTTTTTATTTTTGTTTCCCCCTTCAGGGTGTGGGAGGCAGAAGGGAACAGGATAAAACATATATAGATGAAGGGTTGGCTTTGGCAAGTAGGATGGCCAACTGAGATAGTAGGGTTAGAAGTAAGGACAGATGGTGGAAAGTTTTAAGGTGAAACAGTGTATAGCCGAAGTTTGAAATTGATGGGTAGTCTCTTTTGTGGGAAAGCAAAACAAGTCCAAGGAGAATGGAAAAAGGAAGCAGTTGATAATTTAAAAAAATTTTAATTTAAGGGTCAGTTTTGTAATAAGAAGCTTAAGATAATTATGTCAAGTTTGTGTCACTTTGAGAATGGTCACAGTCCTTGAGCTATCAACTGAATTCATTATTGCTTCATTATATTTGCATTTCAGAAAGCTTCCTACCTTTTGTAAGCTTTTCAGGTTTGAAGTTTCTAGATTTATTATGCCATAATCTCATTGGAAGAGTTTAAGATGATATATAATTCATACTTTGAACTGTAGACATTTCACAGATATAAATTTCCAGAATGTTAGTAAAAGAATACTGAGCAGAGGAAGAATTAAAGAGGAAGGAAAGGGGTATAATTTACTTTTCGAAAATTGATTATTTTAGAGATACTTCCTGAGAACCAGAGAACTTACTGTATCAAGGAATATAATATTAGCTATTATGGTCACTGAGACAGATGGCATGGAACATTTCATTATATTACACCAAATTGGATATCGTAATCTCTAGACTGATTAAAAAAATAGCCCTTCTTAAGCTAAAATAATTATGATTCTCCATAAAAGTTATATGTACTTGCAGAATACTTTAGAATTTTAATGCTTATTAGACTATTACTACAAAATAGAAATGTGTATATTATAAATTAAGCATTAAGACAAAATCTTAATGCCCTCTGAGAAAATGCCTTGTCAAAATAGTCCCAAGTCCTGCATTCAAGTCTGTGATAAATGTAGTTGTTTACATGGATCCATTTTGAATATTTGGCAAGGAATTTTTTTTTTCATGATGTACCAAAGCTATCAACATTATGAGGGAAATTACTTAAGATGATCCATGTCACCTTTTTCTCCCCTTGTAGGCGTCTAACTAAGGAAAATGTGAAGCCTTCTGGAAGACAAATTGGGAAGCTTAGCCACAGCAATCCAACCATTTTGTTTGATTATGTATGTTTTTGGGTTAATATTACTTTAAGGATTTTTCTTGTCTTTAAATCAGCATAAGTAGAATGGAATATGTAGTTTTAAAAGTGTTTCATGGGGATAAAAACCTTTAGCAAATTAATCATTTTATTATTAGTTTTGTTTTTAGAATATATTTAACAAATTGACCTATTTTAATAATATGTAACAATGTTGCATATTATAAACAGTCTAACATCTTATTTACCACATTTTGATTTATAGAAGCAGTAATAGATTCATTATTTGGTTTTACTTGTTTGAAACATTTAAATAACATTTCATTGTGATTTCATATTTTCATATTTAAATAGAAATTTCTAAAACACAATTGACTAGCCTCTATATGTCTAAAATTCAAGTTTAGATATCTTAGGATTATTTTCTAATTGGAAATGTAGCCCCAAGAAAATACAGTTTGTCCCCCCAAAATGTATACAGACTTTAACAGCTGATTTCTATTACATTTTGAAAATGAAATATATTTTAATAATCATTGCCTTTATAATTATTCAAAATGTATACATTTTTGGGACACCTGAGGTTTTATATAAATACTAAATAGAAGGAAACTACTTTTGAAAAATGAAATGTATAGCCATTATACAGTTAGCACAGAAGTTCTCTTTTGATTAGTTAACAACATCTATTTTATGTTGCTATCTTCCAGATTTTGTCACAAATACAGAAGTATGATAACTTAATAACACCTGTAGTAGATTCACTGAAATACCTCACTTCGTTGAATTATGATGTCTTGGCCTGTATCCTTTTAAGTGAAGTAATACATAGATTTCACATTCCATAGATCTTAATGGTGAATGTTTTATTTTTATTCTAAGTTTCTTTTTTATCCATCTGAGATTGATTCATTTGGTTGATCTGAAGGTTGGCCAGTCAAGGGGGGAGAGAGAAAAAGAGAGAGAGGAAGAGAGAGGAAAAGAGAGAGCGAGTGTATGTTGTATATAGGGAGAAAAAGTGTTACATTTACTAAACATTTTTTTTTTATCACCCCACTGATTACTCAATGGGAAGAAAAAAAAAACATCTTTTTATTTTATTTTAATTATTAAATTTATTGGGATAACAATAAGATCATATAGTTTTCAAGTATATGAACATTTTGATATAGGTGGAGTCTATTGATTGTTGAAAGAATGGAAAAAAGCTAAAGAAGAGTTGATACTATAGTGAGTGTAGTTTTCATTAATTTGCAATAACTTGAAGCTAACAATTGTATTTTTTCCCCAAGATATGGCATTTTTGTTGTTGTTTTAAGAGACTTTGTTAGAGATATAGTGACTTAAAATTTTTTCTTAATGTGTGAAAGATTGTATCATTGAAGCTTTAGCTAATCCCGAAAAAGAGAGAATGAAACATGATGACACAACCATCTCAAGCTGGCTTCAGAGTAAGTATTTTTATTTTTTCCAAGGATGACATTTATGACTGCCATGCTATGTTCTCCTTTACCTATTCTAAGAGCCTATTGGCAAAAGCTCTTGACAATAGCCACTCAACTTTTTTACTGGTGTCCAAGTTCTTGACTTTGTAAAAAGGTTCATATACTACTTACTCATTTTCCAACTCAAGAGGCCAGTATTGGCCATGATAGAATTGGGCAAGCATTACTGGGGAGTTGAAAATACACTTCTATTATTTTAGAGCAATTAATCATTTAAAAATACTTTCATTGATTTCAGAGAGGAAGGGAGAGGGAAAGCGAGAAAGAAGCATCAGTGATAAGAAAGAATCATTTATCGGTTGCCTCCTGCACCTGTGTGCCCCCCCCCCCCCCAACTAGGGATCGAGCTCGCTACCAGGCTTATGCCCTGACCAGGAATGGAATTGTGACCTCCTGGTTCATAGTTCGATGCTCAACACTGAGCCACACTGGCTGGGCAGGGGAATTAATCTTAAGGGAACTATTCTCCCTTTTTTCATTTCCATTGCGAGGTTTCAGTCATATTAAAAGAACAAAAACTTTGTTGTTTAAAAATAAAAAACCCTAGCCTTTATATTTTTTAAATAAATCTTTATTGTTCAGATTATTACAATTGTTCCTCTCTTTTCCCTCCATAGCTCCCCTCCACCAGGTTCCTACCCTGCCCCTGTCCTCTCCATAGGTGTACGCTTTTTGTTCAGTCTCTTCCTGTACCTCCTACTCCCCCTTTCCCCAGAGAATTGTCAGTCCATTCCTTTTCTATGCCCCTGATTCAATTATATTCACCAGTTAATACTGTTCATCAGATTTTTTTATTCCCTTGGTTTTTAGATTCACTTGTTGGTAGTCACATATTTGTTGTTCATAATTTTTATCTTTATCTTTTTCTTCCTCTTCTTAAAGAATACATTTCAGCATTTCATATAATACTGGTTTTGCGGTGATGAACTCCTTTAGCTTTTTCTTATTTGGCTTTTCATATCTGGCTTTCAATTCTGAATGATAGCTTTGCTGGATAGAGTAATCTTGGCTGTAGGTTCTTGCTATTCATCACTTTGAATATTTCTTGCCATTCCCATCTGGCCTGCATAGTTTCTGTTGAGAAATCAGCTGACAATCGTATGGGTGCTCCCTTATAGGAAACTAATTGTTTTTCTCTTGCTGATTTTAATATTCTCTTTGTCTTTTGCTCTTGGCATTTTAATTATGATGTGTCTTGGTGTTGTCCTCTTTGGATTCCTTTTGTTTGGGGTTCTGTGCACTTCCTGAACTTGTAAGTCTAATTCTTTCACCAGGTGGGGGAAGTTTTCTGTTATTATTTCTTCAAATAGGTTTTCAGTATCTTGCTCTCTCTCTTCTTTTGGGACCCCCATAATTCTGATATTGGTATGCTTGCAGTTGTCCCAGAGGCTTCTTACACTATCTTCAGCTTTTTGTATTCTTTTTGCTTTTCCTGAGGAGTGTTTTTTTGCTTCTTGGAATTCCAAATCTTTGACTTTATTCTTGAGATCCTCTAGTCTGCTTTTAGATCTCTGTATAATATTTTTTATTTCAGTCAGTATATGCTTAATTTCTAGTTGACCCCTTTTCATTATCCTCAAGGGTCTCTTTAATTTATCGGCCTTTTGTAGGAAATTCTTGAAAAACCTTGTAACTGTGGTTTTGAACTCTATATCCAGTCTTTTGCTTTCCTCCATTTCCTTCAATTATGCCTGCCTCTTTGTCTCCGCATTTTAGCTGCTTCCCTAAGTTGATGGCGTGGCTTTGTGTATTAGGTGTCATAGCAGGACCCAGTAGCTCACTTTCCCCAGTTACCTGTGGTGGACCCTCTTGGTGCAGCCTTTTGTGGGCTGTATGTGCAGTCTTGTAGTTTAAGCCTTGCTTGTTGTTGGTATCACTGGGGGGAGTTGATCTCCAAGCAAATTGGCTGTGAGGATCAGCAGTGTCTCTGCTGGGAGGGTTTCTGTGCTCAGTTTGGATGGGGTGGAGTCTCAGGGTGGAGCAGACAATCTTTGGTTTCCCATCAGCCCCGTCTTAAGAGGGCCCTGTTCTCCATGTCCCGCAACAATGGCTGCACCCCTCTGAGAGAAGGCTGTTCTTGAGTTTTGCCTGCTGCCAGACAGTCCAGTTTCTCCCTGACTGGATCTGGATTTCAGTGCAATTGGGAGGTTTTGTTTTCCTCCTGAACGAGAAAGCTAGTTGCATGTTTGCTGCCCACCCTCTCAGCGCACTGCGAGTAAGCCAGCTGCATATTCAGCCGCCCACCCTTTCCACGCTCATAGATCTCTGCACCTGCACAGGTCCTGAGGCTCAGCGTCCTTTTCTCTTTTTTTCTAGTTATAGAACTCCCACTCAGCCAGCTTTCCAGTGGTTCTGGATGATGTCCACTCTGTTTTCCAGTTGTAGTTTTAAAATTGTTGTGGTAGTCAACAGTTATTTACCTTATGTTGCCAACTTGGTTTCCAACCCTAGCCTTAAAAAAAAAAAAAAAAAGTCTTGTATCTTTGATTTCTAGCTGCCAGTTCCCCTTTTTTTCAACCTGTCCTGTCTGATAGCTGAATCTTTCGGTATCCCCATTGCCCTTTAAAGTCTACAATCTAAAAAGTCATACAGTTAAGTTCTTTGGGAATCAGATTACTCACTGTATTAGCCTCATCTCTTGCTCTTCCTCAATAGTCCATTAATATTGAAGTTCTTGCACTTTCCATGTCTCATTTTCACATTATTCCGTCTACTTTGAATACCCTTCATGCTCACTCATCTCCTCCATTACATCTTAGAGTTCAGCTTAGAGGTCACCTTCTTTGGAAAGCTTTCCCTGTTAAAGCTCCTACCTCAAAGCCACAATTAGGTGTCTGTCTTCTGTATTCCCATGGATCATTTTTATTCCTCATAGTTATTTCAGTTTACTTTCTTTATCCATCACTAGATTGTAAGCTCCTTGAGGGCAGAACTGTGTTTTGTCCATTATCCCTTAGGGGCTCAAGAAAAAATTGTCAAAAAGGCTATAGATAAACTGATTCTACTTGGATCTCCTCTTAACTTGACTGGGATTTTTCTCTCTGCTCATGATGTAATAAAGACTATTGGTTAAAATTGGCCTTTCCCCCCCTTTTTTTCTTTTGTTTGCTTCTTGGTCTGGCAATGGTTTATCTGTTTCCTCCCCCTTCACAACTAGTAGCATGATCCTAGATAAAAACATTTTTTTTTTAATGACAAACATTTGAGGAGCAGGTGTTTTGTTGACCATTCAAGTTTACTGAGTAATCTGAAAAGATTTTGTCACGGCCACAGGTTCTGGAAACAGACCATATACATTTGAATTACTGCTTTACCTCATACCAATTATGTGACCATGAGCAAGATATATTATATCTGGGTTCTAAATTTTCATCAAACCCGAGTCAATTATTATAAAGATTAAATGAGATAGTTAACACAAAGTGTTTATTTAGTACAGTGTTTTGCATATGTATCCTCAGTAACTATTAGCTATTATCAATTATAAAACTATTAATTGGCATCAGCAATACAATTATTCTTACCTTATTTTGTTTTAGAAATTGAGTTAGTTGAAGAAATGATCTTTTGTACCTTTTGTTTTATGAATTGTTTTTAAAAAGCCCTTTTTTTAATTTCATATAGGTCTGGCTAGTTTCTGTGGTGCAGTTTTTCGTAAATATCCAATTGATCTTGCTGGTCTTCTTCAGTATGTGGCTAATCAGCTAAAGGCGGGCAAAAGGTATTCATAGCAAATTATAAGTAAATGAAATTTAATAATTAGAGTGCTTCTGGTGACATTGGGATATTATGATTTCTATTATCCTGAAAAACTATTTGTTGATTGTAGGCTTAAGTAGAAGAGTTGTTCACTTATATAGGTGGAATTCTTTAATTAAAATAAATTATAATTTAATACATAAATACTTTCAGGCCAAAAGAAATTAATATTGGCTGTATATGTAACTCTAAAAAGAGTAACTCATTTTGACTACCTGTTTGGCTTTTGAATAAATGGTTAATATGATATATTGTAAATCCTTTTATGACAAAACTATTAATTATGCTGCTGGACAGCGGTTGGCCTTTACACTGAGTATTTGGTAGGAACATGTTTATGCTCAGGGTGTATATAGTGTCTTTAATACAATTATTTTTAGAATTTGAAATTTAAAAAGACATAAAGCTTACATACCTTTTGAATAGTACCCTCCTTTCTTTATAAATACTGAGTTTTATCATTTTATTCTGGACCAATAACAGTGCTTAAGAGTTTGAATTAGTATGTATATTAAACCTTATCAGCAGTAGAATGACTAAAATCAAAGAACTGAAAATTGTTTTCAAAAGCTTTCTGGTAGAGAGCAAACAAAAAATCTGTAAAGCTATCTAGTGTTCCAAACAAATATTACCTAAGAAATTCTTGACATTATTATTTTGGTTTAGGGAAAACTAAAAAATATTTAGTTTCAGGATGATATGAATATGGCACTTATGCTATGCTCATCTGATTGGCTATTCCATCTTACTCTTTAGTGTCTATAGGCTAGAAGAATATAATATTATTTTAAAATCTATAATTTAGTTCTCTGTACTGTAAATATAGTTTTTGTGACCGTCTAATTAAAAGATAGTTTAAAGAAAAATTAAAATGTTTTATTGGGACTTGTTGCAAACTAATTTGCATTAGGGCCCTCTTGTTTTCAAAAACTATGTTTAGATAAGACAAGGCCAGTTGAAAGAGTAAGCACTTACAAAAATCTTAGAAAACTGTTCCTTTGTCTATTACTCTGTGTATTGGATATATCTAGCTTTATCTTTGGGAAAATGTCTGCATTTGTTTTATGGGAAAGAATGTTTTCACTTTATATTCATTACTTAACTAATTAAAGACGGTCTTGGAAGTCATAGGCATTATTTCCATCGACAATCCTGAACTTTAAAAATTAAAATGTCTAACTGTGGGGCACAATAATAAATGTGCTTAAGGCTGGCAACTAAATTGTCATGTTAGGCTTAAGTACCACATGTAATTTCTGTCCCCTTCCTTTTAAAACAAAATATATTTTTATTCATTTCAGAAAGGAAGGGAGAGGGGAGAGAGAGAGACAGAAACACCAACGATGAGAGAGAATCATTGATCTGCTGCCTCCTGCATGGCCCCCCCCCCCCCATACCTGAGATCGAGCCTGCAACTCTGGCATGTGTCCGTGACTGAAATTGAATCTAGGACCCTTCAGTCTGCAGGTTGATACTTTATCCACTGAGCCAAACCAGCTAAGGCTGTCTTTTCCTTTTTTCCGTCCCTCCCTTCTTTCATCCCTCACTTCTTTCCAAGTGTGTGAGATTATTTAAAGAGATATCTGTATACCATAAAAAACATTTATTTGCCATTCTATACAGAAGGGTTAAAAAAATGCTATGGAGGACATGATTGGGTCACTGATAAGAATGGAATATGAACTGTAAATTCAGCTGATAAAAATGAAATATGAACTGTAGAATAAAGGATTCTATCAATGTTAGATTTACTAAAGTTGATTACTGCTGTGGTTATATAAGAGTATAGCTGTATTTTTAGGAAATGCACTCTTAGGAAATGTAGTCTTACGAATTTTAAGGGTGAAATGTACCCTTAAATGATGTCACATACTAAATGAACTCTGAAATGGTTTAAAAAATGTGTGTTTGTGTGTATGTAGAGAGAGAGGAAGGAAAGAGAAAATACAAATGATAAAGCAAATAGGAGTAAAATGTTAATAGGTGAAGTTGGGATAAAGCTTTAGACTGTTTTTATCTTTGCGTGTTATCTGTACATTTGACATTATTTCCAAGTAAAATGTTCAAGTAAATGTAAACATATTACATGGCCCAAATGTTTTTTGTACAGTTCTAGGAATGAAGTTTTTCCTTAAAAAATGCTTTAACCCCTTTCTCCTCATACTTACGTTACGTACAAATAGTTTAAGGGTTCTCAGTTACAATATATTGTCACTTTTATGTTTGAAGTTTCAACTATAGGTTGTTTTTTTATTTTTTCTAAATAGTTTTGACCTTCTTATATTGAAAGAAGTGGTACAAAAAATGGCAGGAATAGAAATTACAGAGGAAATGACAATGGAGCAACTAGAGGCCATGACTGGTGGAGAGCAACTAAAAGCTGAGGTGAGAGTTGCTATTTTTATTTATTGATTTTTTTCAAGTTAAAAATGTATGCATGCTAATGTTAAAGAATCCAAACAGTACATAAGTACATAAACCAAACATCAGAGCCATACTTATTCTCCTCTCACAATTGTCCATACCTTCCTTTTAAAAATTGTGATTAGTTATTTTAACCTTTAGTTAAATGTTTTTATTTAAACATTTTCAGATGAGAGAGAGAGGAAGAAAAGAGTGAGAGAGAGAGAAATATTGATTTGTTGATCCACTTATTTATGCACGCATTGGTTGATCCTTGTATGTGCCCTGACCAAGGTTGAGGGTTTGACCAGGGATCAAACCCTTAACCTTGGTATCTCTGGACGACGTTCTAACCAACTGAACTACCTGGCCAGAGCATATTTTAACCTTTTTAAAAAGTTGAAACAGCCAAAACCGGTTTGACTCAGTGGATAGAGTGTCGGCTTGTGGACTGAAATGTCCCTGGTTTGATTCTGGTCAAGGGCATATACCTTGGTTGCGTGCACATCCCCAATGGAGGGTGTGTAGGAGGCAGCTGATCGATGATTTTCTCTCATCGATGTTTCTAACTCTCTGTCCCTCTCTCTTCCTCTGTAAGAAATCAATAAAATATACTTTTAAAAAAAGCTGAAATAAAATAAAGAAAAAGGAATGCTTTCTTGATTTTTATATTCCCTCAAGCTACTTTGGTGTCTGTAAGGGAATAAACCATATCTGTAGAGGAAATAAATATAAAATGTTTTGTGGTCCTTGTTATCCTAACTGGCATAAATCTGAACATAGTTACTCTGTTGTTGAATCTGTTCCACACTGAATAAAGAATAATCTATCTATCTATTAATATCTATATCTATCTATCTATCTATCTATCTATCTAATCTATCTAAAAGGCTAAGTGACCAACCATACATCCATCTGACTGTCCAACCGACTGGTCAGTACATATGGTGTGCACTAACAATTTAATTTTGTATTTTAATTTTATAATACTACTAGAGGCCTGATCACGAAATTCATGCACAAGGGGAAGGGAATGTGTGTCCCTCAGCCCAGCCTGCACCCACTCCAACCTGGGACCCCTTGAGGGATGTCTGAATGCCCATTTAAGCCTGATCCTGGTAGGGTATTCGGACATCCCTCTCACAATTCAGGACTGCTGGCTCCCACCACTCGCTTGCCTGCCTTCCTGATTTCCCCTAACTGCTTCTGCCTGCCAGCCTGATCACCTCCTAACCACTCTTCCGCCAGTCTGATTGATGCGTAGCTGCTTCCCTGCCAGCCTGTTTGCTCCTAAGTACCATCCTCTGCCAGCCTGCTAGTCACCCCTAACTGCCCTCCCCTGTAGGCTTGGTCCCCCTCAACTGTTCTCTCCTGCAGGCCTGGGTCCCCCCCAACTGCCCTTCTCTGCAGGCCTGGTCACCCCCAACTGCCCTCCCCTGCCAGCCTGGTCACCCCTAACTGCCCTCCCCTGCAAGCTTGATTTCCCCCAACTGCCCTCCCCTGCTGGCCATATTGTGGTGGCCATCTTATATCCACATGGGGTCAGGATCTTTGACCACATGGGGGCAGCTATCTTGTGTGTTTCAGTGATGGTCAATCTGCATATTACTCTTAGATAGGATAGAGGCCTAGTGCATGGGTGGGGGCCAGCTGGTTTGCCCTGAAGGGTTTCCCGGATCAGGGTGGGACTTCCCTTGGGGCGTGGGGTGGCATGGTCAAAGGGCCTGTGGTGGTTTGCAGGCCGGCCATGCCCCTAGGTGACCCAAGTGGAGGCCCTGGTATCTGGGATTTATTTATCTTCTATAATTGAAACTTCGTAGCCTTGAGTGGAGCCAAGCCTCCTGCTTGCTCAGTGGCAGTAGCCACTTTTGTTGGGATTTATTTACCTTCTATAATTGAAACTTTGTATTCTTGAGTGGAGTCCAGGTTGTGTGGAAAGCTTGGCTTCCTCCATTACTGGGGAAACCAAGCCTTTTGCTTGCTCTGTGGCCACAGCCATTTTTGTTGTGATTTATTTATCTTCTATAATTGAAACTTTGTAGCCTTGAGTGGAGTCCAGGGTGTGTGGAAAGCTTGGCTTCTTCTATTGCCGGGGATACCCAAGCCTTCTGCTTGCTCCATGACTTCAGCCATATTAAATAGGTTAATTTGCACACTCGCTCCTGATTGGTTGGTGGGCATGGCTTTTGGGCGTAGTAGAGGTATGATCAATTTGCATAATACTCTTTTATTAGATAGGATATTATATATACTATTTTGACATGTAATTTTTCTTTTTCTCTTTTTTTATTGTTTAAAATATTACATATAGTAGTACATATATCTCCCTTTTCCCCCTATTGCCTTCCCCCAGCCTCCTCTACCCCCTGTCACATACTGCATGAATCTTTCTTCTAATTAATTTCAATGTGCCCTAACTGGTTTGGCTCAGTGGACAGAGCGTCAGCCTACGGACTGAAGGGTCCCAGGTTCGGTTCCTTTCAAGGGTATGTACCTTGGTTGAGGGCACATCCCCAGTGGGGGCTGTGCAGGAGGCAGCTGATGGATGTTTTTCTCTTATTGATATTTCTGACTATCCCTCTCCCTTCCTCTCTGTAAAAAAGGAAAAATCAATAAAATTATATTTTAAAAAAAATTTAATGTGTAAGAATCTGTGCACTGGGCCACTAGTCTTTTATAAGAGACTGTATGGAAGAAAATGGAAAATAGGCAGAAGTTTCAAGGCAATTGGCAGTTATCTAAGTCAGTGACTATAACTAGTAACAGTATCATTAAAATAAATTTTTAAAGAAAGGAAAAGTAAATTTATATCTTCTCTTTTGCAGGGTGGTTATTTTGGCCAGATAAGAAACACTAAAAAATCCTCCCAGAGATTAAAGGATGCACTGTTGGACCATGATCTTGCTCTTCCTCTCTGTTTGCTTATGGCTCAGCAGAGGAATGGGGTGATTTTTCAAGAAGGTGGAGAGAAACATTTGAAACTTGTTGGAAAGCTCTATGATCAGGCAAGTTAAAGTGGCTTTTGTGTTTATGTTGATTTTTAAAAATCCCAATAATGGCAAATATAGCATGTTCTATAACTCTAAAATTGTAATTTTGTACTTATGAGTATGAAACAGCTCTAATGTAAAGTATACATTCTGGAAATGGGCTATATTTGTGCAAATTATGATATTTAATCAGTGGCTCTAGGAGATGTAATAATATGTATAAGTTAAGTAGATAACAAGTTGTTTGCTCTCATATCTTTCCTAATCTCTGGAATTTCAGTCACAGCAAAGTAGATGTGATCTTTATTTATAAAATATATTTATAAATATTAAGTACCAAATCTATGGTTCACGTACAAAATGTGCTTAACAATCACTATACTACAAAGAAAAAGAATCATATATTTATAAATGAAATTTTCATCTTTTAAGGGCAAGTAAATTCTGTCTACATAAAATTGTTATATGTGATTTAAGTAAATATATTCTACTCAAAGTGATGAACAATAACTTGAAACTTGAGAACTCATTGATCTTAAAGCCTTAGATTAGTATACTTTCAATACCCTTGGCATCTTTTTTTGTAATACGATTATGTTTGTAGATTGTCTTTAAAGTTCTTTCAATTTGTCAAATTTAAATTCTTGTTAATCAAAATATTTTTTAAATGGCACCTTAATCATTTTGGAAAAATTTTTATGTTGTTTTTATAAAATGATAACACATTTATTTTTTTTGTCTTTTTAAATTTAGTGTCATGATACCCTAGTACAGTTTGGTGGGTTTTTAGCATCTAATCTAAGCACAGAAGATTATATAAAGCGAGTGCCTTCAATTGATGTGCTCTGTAATGAATTTCATACACCCCATGATGCAGCATTTTTCCTGTCTAGGCCAATGTATGCACACCATATTTCAGTAAGTATAAATATCATTGCTATCATTTATAAACAATTACAAATAATTTTAAATGTTTTATTTGTACTTGCATTTTACTTTGACATATAGATTGTCTCTTGGAGAGTTACTCTTTTGTTAATACTCATCTTTGAGCAGTGTATAATGAAAATGTCCCCTTTAAAAGTAAGTCTTACTAGTTCTATAATTTTACTGTTACTGTGCCACTAGTTGTCCAGGTTGATGTCTTATGGGCCCTCGAGAACTATAGCTCTCAAACATTAGTATAGATGAGAATCACCATTGAAGCATCTTAAAAACTGAGTCCCATGTCCCATAATTCTAATTTTGTTTTAAACCTCACCCAAGGACATATTCATTGATTTTTAGAGAGAGGGAGCGGGAAAGAGAGAAACATTGAGTGGTTGCCTCCTGCATGTACCCTGCCAGGGCCAGGGGAATTAAACTCACAACCGAGATATGGGTCCTCATTGGAAATCAAACCCGAGGCCTTTTGGTATGGGACAATGCTCCAACCAGCTGAGTCACACTGGCCATGTCCCCCAATTCTAATTTAATAACTTGAATGGTACCCGGAAATGTTTTGTTTTTATTTATTTTATTTTTTAATATATTTTATTGATTTTTTTTTTTTTTTACAGAGAGGAAGGGAGAGGGATAGAGACTTAGAAACATCGACGAGAGAGAAACATCAATCAGTTGCCTTCTGCACACTCCCTACTGGGGATGTGCCCGCAACCAAGGTACATGCCCTTGACCAGAATCAAACTGGGACCCTTCAGTCCACAGGCTGACGCTCTATCCACTGAGCCAAACTGGTTAGGGCTATTTGTTTGTTTTTTAGGAAGTACTAGATGATTCTGAAATTAATGAATGTGGTGTGTCATTTTGAGAAACACTCCTGTTGAATACACAGTCCTGTTTCCTCAATGACAATATTCCTGTCAGATAGTTACTATTATGCATACTGCCTTGAAAAAAATATAGACAGAAAGTCTTAACTACCAAACATTCTAAAAATTCTTATAGTGTCTTTTTTGTAACTTCTAGGAAAGGTGTATTTATGGTTGTTTTTTTTTCTCTCCACCTACATGAAACAACTGAAAACAAAAAACATCATGAAAAGCAAACTAGAGCCTTCTGAAGCAGAATATCCCAGTAGTGACTAGGACGAGGAGATAGCCCTCTCTACTCTGCCACTGTTACCTGCAAAGCAGTGACCTCTAATTGGAATTCATTTTTCCTTTTCCCTCAGGGCCATGGTCCTCTGGAATCTGGTACTTTCTGAAGTCCCAGCAAATTCTTAATTTTGGATCAGAATTGGATTCTGGCCCTTCTGTTTATTGTACTATACAAAGCTTCCTTTACAAATTTGGGGAAAGATTTTAGACTTATCTCTTAAGCTAGGATACCTTCTTTGTTCCCAGTAGGATACAAGGCTGTGTAGTATAGTCATGGAATAAAGGCACTGAGAAATTTGGTGTATAATTGATCATTTAACCAACCATTAACTCTTAGTGTTTACATATCTACTGCTACAGTCTCACAACTCCCTCTAACAACTAATTAAATGTTAATTGGTTTAATTATCACTTTATTAGCATGCAGCTATTCTTTGGTGTTCTTTCTAGAGGAGAAAGGGGAATAGGGAGAAGGAATAGGCCTTATTTATTTATTTATTTATTTAGTCAGTCTTTATTGTTGAAAGTGTTACATGTGTCCCCTTTACCCCCATTGACTTCTTCTAAGCTTTTCTTGTCCTTTAGAATCTCTCAATTCAGAATATCTTGTGGTCTTTGCATAGTTATGCCTTGTGTTGTCGCTCCCCCCCGCGCGCCCCCCCCCCCCCAAGAAGATCAGGGAGAATTTCTTCATCTCAGGAATTCTAACCTGCCTTGTACTATACTGAGAACACACTAATCAGCGATATTGAAGTTTAGCAAACAGAAATACCTGGCTACCTGAAGTTGGCTGAACTTTTCCAGGTCAGAAAATGGAGAAGCTCATTCATACTAATAGTTGCCTTTTCTGTAGCTTGTGTAAAATATTATGCCGTTGTCCTTTAAGGGATATAAAACTAAACCAAGAAATATCATTTTCTCCTCAGGGTTGAGGAAGAAAACAAAGAACTATACAGAGCCTACATGCCACCCTCTGCAAAGGGAGTTCTCAGCAACTTTGATTGCAGTGGATGATATCCAACCTTTCCTGGGGATCCTTGCTTTTGCTGTTTTTAGTTTTTAGTTTTTACTCTCGTGAAGAGCCTTTGAAGAGAGAATATGAGTATTGGAGGACTGCTAGGTCCCTTCCATAAGTTCACTACTAGCAGGCTTTCATGAGAATAATTCAGCCAACCAAACACTGCTTAAATTATTGAGCCAGCAAGAGCTTTTTTAAAACCAATAATTAGAAGTACAGCAATAACTGTGGAACAGTTCTGTTCCATAGATCTAGTTCTCCAGGTGACTTGAGATGTAGAACCATTGTGCCTCTCCATTTGACTAAAGATGTGAGCTTGATGAGGGTTTTAAACTGACTTTAGACAAGGAAATGTTCATCCTAGGTAAACATGCAATGTAACTGATCAAGCCTATTTTTTTTAAACTAGGTAGGGAATAGGGGGTGCATAGCAATAGAAGTAACAGATTCAGAACCAGAGGATTTGAAAGACTGGGGCTGTCATGTAATCTCATACCTATAACCTAATATTTGAGTTTTAATTACTGAGAACCACCTTGTAACAAGGTCTGAAAGGCTCCTCTCAGTTAATCTAGATCTCACTCAAACCAGCTAGTCAAGCTACCTTATGCAGGTAGTTTGAGCACAAATTTATCTTGTTTTGTTAAAACCTTAGCAAATGTCATTCTGCTCACAGGGATTCATGTTAGTTACCATCATTAGGACCTGCTCTCAAAATTTAAAAACCCTTTCTTATCTCAGCTACTGTTCTCTCAGGTCTCTGATGTAATTGGGAATTCTCTCTCATAAGTAATGTTCTTTGTAACTTTGTCACCCGTGTGGTCTCAGTAGTTATCAGCATGTTCTGTAAAATGTGAATAACATGAGATAAATTTTCCTACTTCTAAAATAATTGTACTATTCTCATAGCCTGCTTGAGATACCCTCTGGAACAAAGAGTACTTGGTATGCCTTCAATTCTAGTGAGCCTGAGGTAAAGCAGCACTCAGGAAGGAAGAGTCTGCCTAACTTTTAATTCTGACTTTTTAGTTCTGGGTTTCATGTTTAGCACAAACTGTGAATGATTAAGTGCTTTTCTAACATGAAGAAGAAGTTAGTTTTAGATCTCCTCTCAAGTTCATCTTCAGGGGTGATACCTAATCCAAACAGAATTTTCTGAGTGAGGGCTCCGTTATCCTAAAGAGACTGAGGTATGTGAGGCTGTAGTAATAGCTTCACCTGGTATTATTTTATTTTTGACATTTGGCATACACTCTGTGAACTAATAATGTAGTTCTTTCCATTGTACTAACATTCTTTTTCTCATACAGTTAAGAGTATGGCCTTTCTCTGGCTCTCCTCCTACTTAGGACAAACCAACCAGGCCAAAAAAGCTAGTGTCAGTTCCCACATACTTTAAACTCCAATATACCATAGTCATTCATAGAAAATCTTATTAGTTTGGTATTAGGGTGACCAGTTGATCCTGGTTTGCCTGGAACTTTCCCAGTTGTAGCACTGAAGTCTCGAATGCTGGGAAATCCATAAATTACTGGCAAACCTGGACAGTTGGTCAACCTACTTAGTAGTCTTATGGTGACTTTTTCATAACCTTTTTTTAAGCATTGATCCAGCTTATTTATTTTTGTTGTTGTTTTGTTAATCTTCACCTGAGGATATTGATTTTTAGAGAGAGTAGAAGGGAGGAGGAGACACACACAGAGAGAAACATCAATGTAAGAGAGACAACATTGATTGGTTGCCTCCAGCATAACTATGACCAGAGCCAGGGATTGAGCCTGCAACCAAAGTACATGCCCTTGGCTGGAATTGAATCCGGGACCCTTCAGATGCCGTCCAACACTATATTCAATGAGCCAAATCAGCTAGGGCTGATCCAGTTTCTTCTCTCTCTCTTTTTAAAAATATATTTTTACTGATTTCAGAGAGGAAGGGAGACGGGGAGACTGGGGGGGGGTGGGGAGGAAAGAGAGAGAGAGAGAGAGAGAGAGAGAGAGAGAGAGAGAGAGAGAGAGAGAGAGAGAGAAAGAAAGATCAGTGATGAGAGAGAATCATTGATTGCCTATCTCAATAAGCGAGAACAGGTTAGGGGGAATGGACCGGGGCCATACATACCTTATTCAATACTTACTCAACAGGTCAGATTCAATTAGAATCTTCTGAAAAACTGCTAGTGAGTATACAGGACTAAAAATTGGAACAGCTTCCAGGAATGATTTATCTTAAAATAAATGTCTTTTTGGTAAGAAACTAGAATTCTTACAACAGTTTTGATTAGTCATCTTCTGATATTTGAAAAGGGAACATAGATTTTTTTTTCATTTAAAAAATTATTTTTCCACCACTGTTTATCCCTTCTATGCCCTCTTCCACTTTAACCCACCTCTTTCTCGAACTCTGCAGTCACCACACTGTTGTCCAGGTCCATGAGTTCTCTCTCTTTTTTCTTTTTTACTCAGTCCCTCTACCACTACACTCTGAGCTGTCTTCGTGCTCTTTTTCTATGAGTCTGTTTCTGTTTCACTTGTTAGCTCAGTTTGGGGAACATAGATTTTTATACAGTGAAAGTCAGTGCTATAAATTGTGTTGTGTATGTGTGTTTACTTTTTATTTCCAGTCTAAGTATGACGAACTTAAAAAATCAGAAAAGGGAAGTAAACAGCAACATAAAGTTCACAAGTATATTACATCATGTGAAATGGTGATGGCTCCTGTCCATGAAGCAGTGGTCTCCTTACATGTTTCCAAAGTCTGGGATGACATCAGCCCTCAATTCTATGCCACATTCTGGTCATTGACAATGTATGACCTTGCAGTTCCACACACCAGCTATGAACGGGAAGTCAGTAAACTTAAAGTCCAGATGAAAGCAATTGATGACAATCAGGAAATGGTAGGTTTTTATTCTAGTAGTTCAAGTACAATAATGTCATGGTATTAATTTAGCAATACTCATACTTTGAAATTGTGTTAGCTCGGGTTCCTTAAAGCCACAATCCTGTTGCTATATAATATTGTCCTAAATGGGTTTAATGGTGGTCTCTCAATGGTTGGGGCCCAAGAGCTTGGTGAGTATGTGAATGTTTTGATCATTCAAAAGGTATTTGAGTTTGCTTTTCTACTGAAGTCTATGTTAATGAACTTAAAAATGATCTGTGTGATCCTAATCGCAAGAGCAATAGTCGTGCCAAAGAGAACTCTTTAGGAGAAGGCTTTATTGAGGAGGTGAGTCATGAGCTGGATAGGCCTTGAAGATAGATCAGGTTTGAAAATAATGAAGGCAAATTGGCTACCCTAGAGCTCCCGCAAAGGTGTGAAGTGGTCCCAAGTTTTCAGCAGCCAGTGGGCTCAGTGATAAGTTTGAGTGGGGCCACTGTATGTAGAGTAGTGAATATTAGAAAAGAGGGCTTGATAAAATTGAGGGTTATTTTAGATTTCTAAGGAAGGACTCAATGATCAAAATGTTACTTTAGAAAAATTATTCATGACAATGGTATGAGGGATGCATTTGATAGGGGAAAGGAGTAGCAGTAAGCTGAAGACCAGCCAGGTGGCTTTTTGGGTAAGTCATTGTGAAGTCCTGAGAGCATAGACTATGGTGGAGGTTGTGGGAATGCACAAAACTTGTAATGTATTGTGATATTGGAATGAAGGAGATGGAAGAGTCAAAGATGACTCTGTGGCTCAGAATAAAGGTACCAGTGTTGGGAAGATAGCCTGTTTTGATGGTGTACAAAGACTGAGTGACTTTGTCTTGAATTTGTTAAATGTAGGTGAAAGCACATGTAAGTAGACTCCTGAACACCCCTATTGAAGTAATAAACATAAAATAGCATTTATCTCTTTTTGAAAATTTTAATTAAAAGAAAGGGAGGCAATGTGCCTGTAGTTAGAAAAATATCTAACTTATACTTTGTAGCCTCCAAATAAAAAGAAAAAAGAGAAGGAGCGCTGTACTGCCCTTCAGGACAAACTTCTTGAAGAAGAAAAGAAACAGATGGAACATGTACAGCGAGTTCTACAGAGACTGAAACTGGAAAAAGACAACTGGCTTTTAGCAAGTATGTTGTTGGAATTGTTCTGCTACTGCTAAATTACAAAAGCAGACCTTTATAACTGGAGGTGTTGAAGTGTATTATATTTGTATTTCAACTCTGTTCACTATCCCTTTTTTGTTATTAATTAATGCAGAGTCATCTTCACATGTTCACTGAAGGAATTGATTTAGTTTGCTTGTAAAATTAATTAGCTTATAACTACAATAATTTAATTTTTTAAATAAAATCTTATTTCTGGAGAAATTATAGATAGAAAAGTATCCACAGAGTAAAAATGAAAGTCTTATTCGAGGCATGACCTTTTGGTTGCTAACTAAGTAGCCTGTGATTGTATAGCATTCTCCATACTAAAGTTAATATGTTGTCACGTTTAGTGTCCTTGATGCACTTGAGGAAGAAGTTTACCACTTAATATATTGTTCCCTTATTTTTAGAATCTACAAAAAATGAGACCATCACAAAATTTCTACAGCTGTGTATATTTCCTCGATGTATTTTTTCAGCAATTGATGCTGTTTACTGTGCTCGTTTTGTTGAATTGGTACATCAACAGAAAACTCCAAATTTTTCCACACTTCTTTGTTATGATCGAGTAAGTTCTTTTTATTGCAACTTTAAAAAAAAAGTCTCATGAAAAGATAGCTAAACATTATAATCTATGTAGGTATTGTTGTGTGTGTGGTTAAAAGCATGAACTCAAGAGCCAAGTTCCTGAACTTGAATCCTAGCTCTACTAATTTCTAGCTACATGATCTTTGGCAAGTTTTTTAACCTCTCTTTGATTCAGTTTTCTTTTTTTTTTTTTAATTCTTAAATCAATCTTTATTGTTCATATTATTACAAAGGTTCCTCATTCCTTCCCCCCTCCACCAGGTTCCCACCCCACCCTCGACCCCCTCCCCACCCCTCATTGTCCTCATCCATAGGTGCACAGTTTATGTTCAATCTCTTCCTGCATCCACCACTCCCCCTTTCCCGGAGAACTGATTCAGTTTTCTTATTGTAAAATGGGATAGTACCTACTTCATAAGATTGTTACGAGTATTAAATGAGTCACTACACACAAAAGCACTTTGAATAATGCCCGATACATAAAAAGCACCTCTAGTTAATCTATTAACTCAACATTTGGGTTTATATGTTTGCTATACTCATCTCCGATTTTAATCTTCACCCCTCAAAAACAACAAAAAAAACTTACAACTTTGCACATAACTTAACCCTTTGCACTCCGAACCATTCTGGACATTGGCTACCAGCTACTCGGCGGAAACGTGCGTTGAATTAACTCAATTCCCCGTAATCACTAATAAACTGCAATGTCCCTGAGAGGGGACATCCTAGTGATATGCTAGAATTCCGATGTCCCCTGAGAGGGGACAGCGGAGTGCAAAGGGTTAACAGCAGGGATGCTTTTCAGCATGGTCATGATCACATTCGTAACTTTTTGCACCTGGTGTTTTTCTTAATTACTGCATTTTGTGGTTTAAAATGTAATATATGTTACAGCATGTCATCTGCCTATTTCTGGTTTCTATCAGACTTGCCTCTGCTTACTGTCCCCCTAACCCCAGTGATATCTATGGCTAAGTCTCTGTAAAAGTTATGATCCTATATAAAAGAGCTAATATGCAAATAATTGTTACAGCCTTACACTGTCATGCCTTAACTGCTCAGGCACTCAACACTAAGGAGAGAGGACTGGGGATCAGCCAGGCTGCAGCCCAGGAGAGGGACATGCTGCACGCCCCATGGTTCTGGGTGCCAGCGGCTGCACCTGCACATGCAGCCTGGGAGTTGGATAAACCGACCACCCCTTAGTCCTGGGGGCCTGCAGCTGTGGCCCGGGTAAAGCCGCCTGCCCATGGTCCTCTGTAGCTGCGGCTGGCCCGGGTGAAGCTGGCCTGAGTGCCTGAGGCCAGCCAGAGGGAGGAAAGCCTGGGTCCCGGGTGCCTGCAACCTGCTGGAGAAGGGAATCCTGGGCCCTGGGTGTGGGGTGAGGCAGAGGCGGTTAGGGGTGATCAGGCATGCAGGCAGAGGGGTTAGGGGTGATCAGACATGCAGGCAGGCAGAGGGGTTAGGACCCAGCAGTTCCAGATTGCAAGAGCCAGTCAGACATCCCCAGAGGGGTCCCATATTGGAGAGGGTACAGGCCAGGCTGAAGGACCCCCCCCTCCCCCCGCCCCTCATGCATGAATTTTTTTTTCTTTTCTTTTTTTTTTTTAAAAATATATTTTATTGATTTTGTACAGAGTGGAAGTGAGAGAGATAGAGAGTTAGAAACATCGATGAGAGAGAGTCATCGATCAGCTGCCTCTTGCACACCCCCTACCGGGGATATGCCCGCAACTAAGGTACATGCCCTTGGCCGGAATCGAACCCGGGTCCCTTCAGTCCCCAAGCCGACGCTCTTTCCATTGAGCCAAACCGGTCTCGGCTCATGCATGAATTTTATGCACCAGGCCTCTAGTGTAATAATAATGATAGCTGTTTTCTTCTGTCACTGTTAATCAGCTTTCTTTATAAAAGTTTTGTTGTTGTTTTATGAATGTGCTATTTCTTCACCAAAGCTACGTAAAATCTTTAGAGGTCTCTGGGATTGTGAATGTAAAAAGGGAAGATAGATTTTGATTAAACTTACCTGTTTGATATATTATGATTTACTGTCATATGATCTTTTGATATTTTGAACTAATTTTGACTTTAGTTTGTTTTTTTCTCAAAAATTTTTTCCTGTAGGTTTTCTCTGACATAATTTACACAGTTGCAAGTTGTACTGAAAATGAAGCTAGTCGATATGGGAGATTTCTTTGCTGCATGTTAGAGACTGTAACCAGGTGGCACAGTGATAGAGCCACATATGAAAAGGTATGACTAATAATATGCTTACATTTTATCCACATATATAATGACACTTCCAATAAAATCTCTAGGTTGTTCAGTTTTTTTTAAAAAAAAATATATATTTTATTGATATTTTACAGAGAGGAAGGGAGAGAGATAGAGAGCTAGAAACGTCGATGAGAGAAACATCGACCAGCTACCTCTTGCACACCCCCTACCGGGGATGTGCCTGCAACCAATGTACATGCCCTTGACAGGAATCGAACCTGGGACTTTTCAGTCCACAGACCGACGCTCTACCACTGAGCCAGACCGGCTTCGGCTAGGTTGTTCAGTTTTAAAAGGGAAGCTGAGTTTAAGATTCAGTTGTAAAACAGTGTTTAAAATTTAAGCATAATTAATCCATTATTTAAAATGCTATATATTTTTATCCTATTTCAAACTGATAACATTCCAAATTAGTATTATGGGATAAACTGAGCCTTTCTGTGAAAACTACCTAGCATTCAAAAACACATTATGTTTTCATTTAGAATCATTAATCTAGTCTACTTTCTGCTACTTTGAGGGACAGATTTTTCTTTTTCTTTTTTCCATTTTTTTTTTTTTATTATTTGAAGGATTACAAATAGTAGTACATATGTCTCCTATTTACCCCCTTGACCTCCCGGCAGTCTCCCCTCCTCTCCCCCCGCTGCATATGCCTTCACATACCCCCCCATTTCTTGTATCCATGGGTTATATTTATATGCATGCATACAAGTCCTTTGGTTGATCTCTAACAGCCCCCCACCACCAACTTCCCTTGCCTTCCCGCTATAGTTTGACAGTCTGTTTAATGGTTCTTTATCTCTATAACTGTTTCCCCCCCCATTTCTTTTCTTTGAAAAATCTTGCAACTGCAGACTAGAAATAAACATATAATAACAAAGAACATTTGAGTCCCAATTTCAGTGTCCAACAGTTCTGAGACCCAGTTTCAATGTCAAATAATTCCTTATGTATACATGTCAGCAATGATATCTGGATGATGGACAGATGGTGGCAATGCAGGTCCAACCCTCTCTGGTTTGGTCCTGGGCAACCTGCAGCAATGCACAGCTGCTGACTGCTAGCGTGGCCAGGCATCATTAGCATCGTTCATCTCTGGGCTGTTTTTCAGATTTTTCTTTTAAAGCAACAACCTATTTTTGCCTCTTAGGAATGTGGAAATTATCCAGGATTCCTTACTATATTACGGGCAACTGGATTTGATGGCGGAAATAAAGCTGATCAATTAGACTATGAAAATTTTCGGCATGTTGTACATAAATGGCATTACAAACTAACCAAGGTAAAAAAAAAATGTATTTCTCAAATTTCTCAAAGGTGTTTTTTTCTTTCTTCATAGTTACACTTTTATAATGATCTTAAAATGTTTGTTTTAGGCATCAGTACATTGCCTTGAAACAGGCGAATATACTCACATCAGGAATATCTTGATTGTGCTAACAAAAATACTTCCTTGGTACCCAAAAGTTTTGAATCTGGGTCAGGCTTTGGAAAGAAGAGTACACAAAATCTTCCAAGAAGAAAAAGAGAAGAGGCCTGATCTATATGCATTGGCTATGGGGTAACACAATTATACTTTAATGTGATTTTTATGAGACTAGATAACAGAAGGATTCTGAAGACTTTAAAATGTTTTACAGTGTTGAAGTTTATTTTCTGCTTTACTTCAGGAGATTATGGGAGATTATGCGATCATGTTCCCACAGGCTGGTGAGAGTTGTCACTTCTGATTATCAGCTTCCGGTCTATACTGGATGATAGTTTCACAATTCATATAATATGTACTGGTTTTGAGGAAATGTAACTTTATCATCATTTAGGTTATCAGATCTTCATAGTGAAAAAAAAGGCATCTTAGTTTAAGGATTAATTTTCATTGAAATTTTATTCTTTTAAACCTCATGTTTGTACTTTTTTATTTGTATTTGTATATTTAAACACTTTGTGCGACTTTCAGCTACTCTGGGCAGTTGAAAAGTAGAAAGTCATACATGATACCTGAAAATGAGTTTCATCACAAAGACCCCCCTCCGAGGAATGCAGTTGCCAGTGTACAAAATGGGCCTGGTGGTGGGTCTTCTTCATCGTCCATAGGAAGTGCATCTAAATCTGATGAAAGCGGTGCTGAGGAGAATGGTATGCTTATTTGTAGAAATTTATAAATAATGTGGTTTGTTTCAACAAGCTGAAATGTTTTGTTTCACATGCCAAGTAAAATGCTGCCTTATAATTACTTCTTTATTCCCCAGGCAAGAGTATGTAACTGTCAAGGAGTAATCAATCCTTTGTTTCTTCTAATTAAACTCTAATCATTTTGCTATGAAATTGTAGTTTACTTATATTTAGGGGATTGTCAAATAAAATCTTACCTTTATTTCAGATAAATCAAGGGAGAGATCTCAGTGTGGTGTGAAAGCTGTTAATAAAGCTTCTGGTGCCACACCAAAAGGGAATTCAAGCAATGGAAATAGTGGCTCTAACAGGTAGGAACAAAACAGTAAGAAACCCTTAATGATTAAAAACATGAAATATATTTTATGACTGTCTTAAAAAATCTTACGTTTTTATTCTTACGCAGCAAAACCGTTAAAGAAAATGACAAAGAAAAAGGGAAAGAGAAAGAAAAAGAGAAAAAAGAAAAGACTCCAGCTACTACTCCAGAGGCCAGGGTACTTGGTAAAGATGGTAAAGACAAACCGAAGGAAGAGCGACCAAATAAAGATGAAAAAGCCAGAGAGACGAAGGAAAGAACACCTAAATCCGACAAAGATAAAGAAAAATTCAAGAAGGAAGACAAAGCTAAAGATGAGAAATTCAAGACCACTGTTCCCAACGTAGAATCAAAATCGACTCAAGAAAAGGAAAGAGAGAAGGAGCCATCCAGAGAAAGAGATATAGCAAAGGAAATGAAATCAAAGGAAAACGTAAAAGGAGGAGAAAAAACGCCAGTTTCTGGGTCCTTGAAGTCACCTGTTCCCCGATCAGATATTACTGAGCCTGAAAGGGGCAAGTTTGCCTTTCTTTATATTTGTTTGCCTTTGGTCTTTGTTACGTATATTTGCGTTTGTCTCCTTGTTTTGGCAAGTTACCTAGGAACTTTACTGGGGTAACTAATACTTGATGACCTTAAAAGTTGGTCATATTTTGAGGTGTTTGAAAAAAGTGGAAATATATCTTATTGTGACTATTTTTTTTTCTCCAACAGAACTAAAACGCCGCAAAATTGATACCCATCCTTCTCCATCACATTCCTCAACAGTAAAGGTTAGTATAGCCTGAGGAAGGCAGCGTCCATATTAGGCTCACCTGTTTGGAATACGTGTCCTGACTTCCTTCAAGTCTTATGCCAAGTATTCACTGGAGCCACTGGAGGTTTCATGTTGCATTAGAAAATGAATTTTTTACGTATTGGTGGACTGATATTTTTTTTCTATTGAGTATTTTTGTAACAAAAAATGTTACAACTTCAAGGACTGAGCACTAATTTTATAGTATTTCAAAGTGCAAGAGAAATTTTACCCAGAAGTGCCTCACTGCTTTAAGCAGTCTTTTTGGAGTGCAATGGTGGCTACAAGCAAATGAATCTTTTCAGCAGAATGAAGCCTATTTTTCAGCATAAATATTGAAGAATATATAGCATTGAAGACTTCCTGGATGACACAGGATAAACAAGATACCTCTGAATTCATCAAGCTTCTTGATGAGCATCATACCGATGTGTGCCTTCTAAGAAGGAATCTTGAAAGGAGTTCCATTTTAAAGTCTCCTTGGTGATCAGTTCTCCTGTAGTGTATATTCAGTGAGCATGCAGCTTCTGTTGTATCTTCCCTTGGAGGTTTGTTTATACCCATTGGGTTCCCAACAAGTTGAACCTTGCGTTACCATAAAAGCAGATGTGGCATCCAATCCTACCACCAAGCAAAGAGAAACCCCAGGCATTCAACTGCAGCACAAAATCGTGGGTGTAGCCTTCTTGAAGACTCAGGGTAGCCATTCCTTGCTCGATATTTAATTTTAATTATAAAGCCATCTAATTTCATGGAATCTTTGAATTTGCAATACGTTGAACTTTAAAACTGTAAGTTAACTAATTCTTCATCAAGAGCACTGTGGTGGAATACCGTAATTTATTTTCTTTTTTCTTTTTTTCGTTTTTTTTCTTTTCTCTTTTCTTTTTTTTTTCTTTTTTTTGTTTTTTTTTTTTTTTGTTCTGGGAGGTATGAGATTCACCATCAGAGGCACTTTGCAAAAGAAAAAATCAGTCTTTTATAAAATACATTTTGTTTTCTTGTTAATATAATGCCACTGAGTTTTTTGGCTAGGATATGAAATGTTTATATTATGTCTGAGTCACAGTAAAGTAAAAATGGAAACCTCCCAATTAAAAACTATGAAATGTATGATAGTACTGTTCTTCCACAGTGACCCTCCACTATTTTAAACTTTTTGTGTAGGAAAAAAATAATTTGATTTTTTTAAGCCTCTTAACATTACCTGTAACTTACAGTGTAATGGAATATGTGGCATTATTTATTTTTAAATTCTGAGCAGAGAGTTTTATTTGTTACATTGAGTACATATTAATTTATTTAATTTTTTAAACATTACAATTCCATTACATGGTTTTGCTTTTTTTTTTATTGTTGATATTCATGTACTAATGACATCACGAGATTTATCCTCACAAGAAGTAGCTGGTTTATTTCCAGGTTACAGCCATACTTCCCAAAGTTCTTCTGGGTTCTGAGAACTATGCCAGCTCACCTGTCATCTCCATTCATTTTCTACAGGACAGTCTCATCGAACTCAAGGAGTCTTCAGCAAAGGTTTGAGTCTTTTAAAATCATCATGCCTAAGTAATACAAAAAAATTCTTTACCCTTGCCCTAGTAAATTCAGTGATCTATTAGGATAACTAAAAAATATCTATCACAAACTGAAAATGGATGACAATGGTCCCTTTTAATGAGATTGTTCTAAAATGTGTGTAATGTGGCAACATTTCTATAATCTCTCCTTGCTTGCTGTATTATGCATTACCCTTTTATGCTTCAAAATCTGGAAATTAAGGTTTGGGGAAGACACTGTTGGCTTGTTTTGGGGAGTAGGCTTATATAATTTCTTAAAACAAATCTGTCAGGTTGTTTTCTGACTTTTTTAGGCAGCCTGAGAGATCAAAACATAAATTTGATGCATTCACATAACCATTCTAAAAACTGAGCCCATCTCAATCCATAAAATTATTTATATTGCCTATGCTGAGCTGCCTTTTTGGTAGTTGTGGCATAATATCAAGAAATATGGTCAATATAAACTAATCATTTTCCTGAAGGGGGAACACTCAACTTGATGGTTGTGTTTACATGTCAGTATTAATTCTTGCCTATTACTCTATTTTCTTGAGTAGTACTGCTACTAAAAATAATGTGCAGTTTGTATATCTTATTACAGAGTTCATTTCATTATTGTAGTTGAATTGTCCATTGTTCATGTTACTTTGTCTTTATTATTATAAAATTTGTACTCTACTTTTATATTCTACTTTGCCTCCTCTTATATATCTGCTAAGTATGATTCTTTACTGGTGGACCAATACAAAATGAAATTTTGAAACAAAGCCAGTTGACAGTAGTAATTGCTTCTAGATCTGTAGCTTTATAATGAAATGTCTATGGATATTGGGCAAATAAGCATTAATTTTTAACAGTTTAGATTAGCCATTGTGCCTGTGTCCTGAAATTGTAGCATTGTTTTTAGAATATATGTATTAATCAAGAGTATCAGCTTGTACTGTGAATGCTTTTAAAGTAAAACTTTTCATTAGCTACATTAAATATGTATTGCAATATATTAGGTTTTCACAACCAGTTTGGGATTGTGTATGTCAGTCTTAATAATCAGTGGCTTGTGTGGGCTACTTTAAATTTATGTTGCCTTGTGAGTATTTCCTGAAACATACTTTGAAGCAGTTTGAAACCTGCTGTTACATAAAGTTAACTGGATTTTCTAATCAATGATGAAGATCATGGCTCTTTACATTTGTGAAAACCTTTTGAAAATAAACATATGTGATAGAAACATATGTTATCTCATTTTGTGCTCATTACAGTGCTATGAGGTAGATAGGATAGGTGTTAGTGTATTTTTGACTAAGAGACTGAAGATGTTCTTGGTCCTTTCCCAGTGGCATATAACTTGTCAGTATCAAAACTTGGACTACAGTTAAGTTTCCTCAGGTGTTCTTATTACCACAATGAAAGCAAATTGCAAGCAAAAACATTATGGTTCCTTGATTTTAGCACCCATTTCAACAGTAGTTGACAGGTTTCCTAACTCCCTTAACGTGTTTGTCTTGGTTTTTTTTTTTTTTTTTTTTTTTTTTTTTTTTTTTTTTTTTTTTTTTTAACTTATAATGATTTAAGTCAGTGTTACTACTACTTCTCTTTAATTAAAAAAAAAAAAAAGATGGTCACTTTTTGGGCATTTAAAATTCCATAGGTTTTTACACAGACAACCAGAAAATTTTGAAAATGGCAAAAGAATACACTTCTAAAAATTATGTGTTTCACACAACTTTTCAGATCTTTTGTGCTTTAGTATGGTACCAGGCAATATTATTTGGTGTTCAATAAATATTTGAAATGAACTCTTAGGCTTTTGGACTTTGGTAAAGCATCCAAAGTTTACTTGTCTGCACAGTAATTGATGTTGCATTTTTATATGTGTAGGAAATTTTAATAGCATATATATATATATATATATATGTCTTAGGGCAAAAATTACTGGGCTTAGAATGATCTCTAAACTTGATCTGTATATATTTACTGTTCCTGGGGTAGCTTTTATTTTTTAGAGGACTCAAAATAAGTGTGTATTTTTTCATGCTGTCTTGTCACTTGCATATATAAAATTGTTTCCCTTTTTAGTTTAACCTTTGAGTTATGCCCTGGGATACTTTAAAATTTTCTTTTACTATTTAAAAAAAATATACTTTATTGATTTTTCACAGAGAGGAAGAAAGAGGGATAGAGAGTTAGAAACATCGATGAGAAAGAAACATCGATCAGCTGCCTCTTGCACACCCCCTACTGGGGATGTGCCTGCAACCTAGTACATGCCCTTGACCAGAATCGAACCTGGGACCCTTAAGTCCGCAGGCAGACGCTCTATCCACTGAGCCAAACCGGTTTCGGCTTACTTACTATTTTTATTTGATTAATTAAAGAGAAAAATATAGCTTGGTATCCAAATATTTTGTCAGTTCACCTTTTACCCCAATTTCCAATCGGCATAGTTTTAATTTTGGTCAGTTGTATTTTTACCTAGCAATCCTATTATAGTTGCATTTGATAAAGAATGTGTGAAAAGCATGCTCCTTTAACGTGGGTTCTGTGTAATTTAGGAGGGCAGCAATAACCACCTCAAAAGAGAATGCTACTTTTAATTTCTATTACCATCTTAAAACAAGTATTTACAATCAAGCCTGCAAATTAGGCTGTCTTTATATATTGTAGCCTTTTTAAAAAATATATATTTTATTGATTTTTTAGAGAGGAAGGGAGAGATATAGAGAGCTAGAAACGTCGATGAGAAAGAAACATTGACCAGCTGCCTCTTGCACACCCCCTACTGGGGATGTGCCTGCAACTCAGGTACATGCCTTGACCAGAATCGAACCTGGGACCTTTCAGTCTGCAGACCGACGCTCTACCACTGAGCCAAACCGGTTTTGGCTATATATTGTAGCCTTAATAAAAATGAGCATTGTTCTCTTAAACAGATTTTGAAAATCAATCAAATTGTTTTTTGAATTTAACGAACCTAATGTAAAAAAAAATAAAGCAAATAAAAACAAAAATTCAACAATGCGTCATGCAGATCAACTTAAGCAAATCATTAATTTTATTCGGCAGACATTTATTGAGTACTCACTGTGTGTGTACAGGCACTAGTAAGTGTGTAAAAGCAAAAAAGATACATTAGTTCCTTACCATACTGGAAACTATGTATGCTAAAAAATAAATGACATGAATTTAACAGGGAATACCTGTCACAAAAAAGTTAATGTGAAGTAATCTGAGTTCACCAGAAAGTGAGTTGCAGAGTGGAGGGACGGTCAAACTGATAATGACTTCTGAGTTGAATTTGAAGGCTAAGTAGCATTTTAAGAGATTAAAAGTGAACAGCCATTTTGGTGAAGAAAACTGGGAAGGACAGGGCGTTAGGGAGCAGTAATAGCCACAGTCTATAGAATGCTGTGGGTGCTCCCTAGTAAGATATAATTGTGCAAAGATTGCAAAGAATTCGGAAAAAGCTGAAGAGTATGCATTTGATCCTATAGATAATGAGAGACTTTGTTTTTTTGTGGAAAAGAGTATTGTGATCAGCAGTATAAGAGGGTAGAAAGAAGGAATATAATTGAATACATTTCTAAACTAAAATTTTCTAGGTTTCTCAATTTCTAGCAATACAGAATTCAAGTTAGGCACAATTAAAAACTTCATTCTTGTGTATGTGTGCGCATGTGTATGTGTGTGCACATGAGTGCTTTTTTGTAACAAAACTTTTTGTTTCTATTGGGAGAATTAAGCAATACTTCCTTTAGAGAAATCTTTTTCAAGTATTGCAGTAATATATTATTTTCATTGTCTTGTCAGTTTCATGAGTAATATTAAGACAGGAATACAACTCATATACAGAAAATCTTAAAGTGTCATTTAGCGCATTATACCCAGCAAGAGTACATTTTGCACAAACACTTTTATGACTGTTTTTCATTCTCTTGCTCTGTTAATAATGAACATTTTGTGTATTTCAATTGATCACCAACTTTTAAACATTGAGATTTTAAAGAATCTACTTCTGTATTGTTATGGCATTATTTCTGAGCCAGCTGAATTGAAAATATTTGGTGGTGTTAAAAAAATGTGTTTCTTTAATTCTCAAAGTGATGTTTGTCTTTTTCATGTATTCCTTTGAATATCAAAGGATTTCATTTTGTAACAATATTTGACTTCTGACTCACTGTTCTTTTCATTGCTAAGGTATATCTAGAATTGTGTAGTTATGTAACAAGTTATATTCAGTATTCTGCTGCCTAATACTTTTAATGTCTTAAACATAAGCTTGTAGAACAGTTATAAATGCTGTAAGTTCAGGTCCTTGATTGCTTCCTTAATGATTTCTTTTATAGTAGATTTCCATATTTACAACTTGCATAAGTAAGGTTATCCCTTAATTACTAGAGTTAGCAAATCCTTGATCTTTGGCTGTTTTATTGCCTATGGACTTTTTGGCAGAGAAAGAATAAGCAGAGGAGAACATCGGTTTATCATTTTTCAGTCCTTGAGGTCTTTCATCATCTGTAGCTGACTATATAGTTTGCTGAGTTATTTAGAACTATTAAGACAAAATTCACAGTTATGATAATTAGATAGAAATCTGAGTGCTTTCAGAATTGGAGAGTATGTAGCCTTTACATTTGTAAAATAATTTAGGATAATCTATGCATGATATACTCTGAGGCAAAGACTTATTAATTATGGCTAGGCTTTATTTTATACTTTTGCTTACTGTCATTGATTGCCTATCAGTAGATGATAAAACTATTTAAAATTTCCATGATTTTGTAGAGGTTTATAAGTTTTTTTTATAGTAGAGAAAGTCTAGTCACTATTTTTCACATATGGACTCTTGTAATGGTGCTTATAGATCTTCACAATAGAGCTATAAAAAGTACTGTAGCTTGTGAATCTACTAATGAATCTCAGTTAAGGGAGGAATGAACTGGTTATTTCATAAGCCCAAGAATTAAAATCTTTACATAATTTGTGCCATGCTCTTTATTTTACCTCTTATAATCCAGACAGCTGACCAGTTTTGACTTGAGGTCTAACTACCAATTGTCTTTCATTAAATAAACAATCAAGCAAATAATACCAATACTAGAAAACTTATAATCTTTAGTAATGTTGCCTTAATTTAACAGCTCTACCTTAATCATACTCCTTCACCACTGTCCAAGAGTAAGGAGAGAGAAATGGACAAGAAAGATTTGGACAAGTCAAGGGAAAGATCCAGAGAAAGAGAGAAAAAAGATGAAAAGGACAGGAAGGAACGGAAAAGGGTTTGTAATTTTTTTAAAACTAGTTTGGAAAGCTCATTATTATATACAATAGTATGTTGCCTATTTTTAAAGTACTAGTTTGTTGCATGGCAATCTGTTATTTAGTGTTTTAATTGATATTTTCATCCTAAAGTGTGTTTGAATCTTCTACAGTAATAAGGATCTTCAGCCTAATAATCTCTCCCAACTCTGCTTGTCTTTCATGTCATTTTACCAAGTATGTGAAACTATCACAACTATTCTACAATGCTGTGCCCTTCTTGCATAAAAGTAATACTTTAAAACAAAACAAAAGAAAAAACTCTTGATCAATGTAGTTCACAATTCTTGGTTCTAGGATCACTCAAACAATGACCGTGAAGTGCTACCGGACTTAACCAAGAGGCGAAAAGAGGAAAATGGAACAAGTAAGTAGACTTACAATACTTTTGAAACAATTGTCAAACTGAACTGGCAACTGCTTTCATGATTCTCTTTTATAATTTTAGTGGCAGTTTCAAAACACAAAAGTGAAAGTCCATGTGAGTCTCCTTATCCAAATGAGAAAGACAAGGAAAAAAATAAGTCCAAATCTTCAGGCAAAGAAAAAGGTGGTGATTCATTTAAATCAGAAAAAATGGATAAAATCTCCTCCAGTGGCAAAAAGGTAAATTAGGAAAACAAAGGAACAATATATTTTACTTAGAAAATTAACCCTTTGAAAATGCAGCAAATATTGAGGTTCTTTTATAGTCAAATAGTCTTTTGTTAATTATTTGGGATGGAAAGATGGGACAGAAGGGGAGGACAGGTTATCCAGGAAATTCAAACCAACTCAGTCTCAAATTACTGGAAGGGTAGAATTAGTCTACCTCTGAAATTCCTTTACTCTCCATTCCACTCCCACTTATTTCTGTTCATTGAGTTTCAGCCTTTCTTTTTGTGTTTTCTTTTTTCTCTACCAACAGTGCTTTTTAATTTCTCTGTATTCATGAGATTAAAATATGGTTACATGTATTCTCCCTGATCATTACAATGTCATAAAGTAAAAGATCTTTGTGATTCTAAACATTTTTATAACATTTTCTTCTAATAACCTTATGTGTTTGCAACTTGTATTTGATTCTCACATTAAGTGTAGTGTGCCTTCTCTTAGGTACTTATTAATGGGTGATATTCAAAATATATCTCATGCATCAGTCATTAAGTAAGCAAGTCATCACTAAAGTGTAAAGCATTATTAGGTTGTATATTCAAAATATTTTTATTTTATATATTTATAGTTGTTAAATTTATAGTTATTAAAAGCAGTTTTAGAAAATTATAAGGTGATAGTATGCTTTAGAGGCAAGGTTGCTCCTTTTAAATATTTTTTTAAATTGAGTTAAAATTTACATAACAAAATTAGCCATTTTAAAATAAACAAGCAGTGGCAATTAGTATCTTTACAATGTTGTGCAATCACCATCTCTGTCTAGTTCCAAAACATTTTCATCACCTCAAAGGGAAACTCCATAGCCATTAAGCTGCATTCCCCATTTCCTCCTCCCTTTATCCCCTAAAAAAACAAAACACTAATCTGCTTTCTGTCTGTGGATTTACCAATTTTGGATATTTCATATAAATGGAGTCATATATTAAAGTGGCCTTTTGTGTCTGACTTTCACTTAGCGTAATGTTTTTGAGATTCTTCCATAGTGTAGCATGAATTAGTAGTACTTCATTTCTTTTATATGGCTAAATAATATTTCATTGTATGAATATACCACATTTGTTGACCATTTGTTGGACTTTGGTGTTTTCCACCTTTTGGCTATTGTGAATAGTGCTGCTATGACGTATATGTTTGAATACCTGTTTTAAAATCTCATGTGTATATACCCCAGGAGTGGAATTTCTGGGTTATATGGTATGCTATGTTTAACTTTTTGAGGAACTACCAAACTGTTTTTGCACAGTGGCAGCACAATTTATATTTCTACCAGCAATGCATGAGGGTGCCAATTTCTCTATATTCTTTTCAACATTTTTTTAAAATTTAAATTTTATTTTTTATTACATAGCCATCCTAGTGGGTGTGAAGTGGCATCTCATTGTGGTTTTGATTTTGCATTTCCTTAATGACTAATGATGTTGAGTATCTTTTCATGTGCTTTTTGGCCATTTGTATATCCTCTTTGGAGAAATTTATTCAGATGCTTTGGCCATTTTTAATTGGATTATTTGTCTTTTTGTTGCTCAGTTGTAAGAATTCTGTATATAGTCTGATACTAGAACTTTAAGAGATCTATGATTTGCAAATACTTTCTCCCATTTGGTAGATTGTCTTTTCACTTTCTTGATAGTGTAATTTGATGCATGAGAGTGTTTATTTGATGAAGTCCAATTCTTTGTTGTTGCTTGTGCTTTTGGTGTCATATTAAGTAAGTTTTTGAAGAAACATTTATGACTGGTGGGTGATTGCAAAGGGATTTTGAGCTGATTTTTTAATTTGGTTTTCCCTTCCCCAACTAATTCCACCATTCCTTATAGGAGTCCAGGCATGATAAAGAAAAGATAGAAAAGAAAGAGAAACGGGACAGTTCAGGAGGAAAGGAAGAGAAGAAACAATATCCTTTTCATCTTATTGATGCTTTTAATCAGTGAAATGGAAAGCTTTGATACTGTTCATGTTTAGAATTGTACCCTTATAGTAGTATGTGCTCTAAATGCTTAAGAGCCTCTTAGCTTTTAAATGGTCTCTCCAGTTAATCCTCTCAAATATAAGAAATGTAGAAGTGGGAGAGTTGATGTATTTTTTAAACGTCTTTGTTGACTGAGGTTGTTTTATGCTACCTAGGGATTTGGAGTCCTTCTGGCTGTATTATCATTGAGAGGAAGAAAAAGAACAGAGTCCCTTGGGCTGGGAGCATGGGGAATTGAAGGGCAAGATGATGCAGCAGACAAGCAGAGCTGGTAGAGTTTGAGGCTACCAGCTGGTTAGAGCCAAATAGGCCTGAAAGCTAAGGGATTGTACTAGAAGATGAGACACCATTCTTTTTTCCCTAGTTTTCCCCTTAATTTGTCATCTACTCATAAGTCCTCGGACAAACACAGATAATGAAGACTTTCCATCAAGGTGAGTGTTCTCTCACCTCCTTTTTATTTAAAGAGAAATTTTATAAAATGAGGTCTGATAATGATGAAGAAACTAGATCCAGTTTGCAAAGTACAACTAGAATTTTTCATCTAAATATAATGACTAGGTCTTTGGGTATACCGTGTTTCCCCGAAAATAAGACATCCTCCGAAAATAAGACCTACTTACAGGTTTCCTTCTGAATGAAATATAAGGCATCCCCCCGAAAATAAGCCCCCCCCCCAGGCTAAACATGAGAGATTTGGTCCACTGATTCTGAAAGAGAGTCACAAGAAATTCACCAGGAAATTCAGGAATTGGATTGTTATGATGATGTTCCAGAAGATGATGACATGATTGTCATTGAATAAATGAGTAAATTCTTGATACTATAGGATTCACAGTTTGTCTGGTTTGTGTTGACAACTACCGTACTACCGTACCGTATACAGGTAATATCAATACATTTTCTTTATTTTCATTTGACAATAAATGTGTACCATATTCTTCATGGAAAAATAAGACATCCCCTGAAAATAAGTCCTAGCGCATCTTTGGGAGCTAAAATTAATATAAGACACTGTCTTATTTTCGGGGAAACAAGGTAGATGCAAAACAAAATTCACAGTTATTTTTAAGCTGTTTTCATTTTAAGTTTGCTGATTAGCTCTGCTTTTTTTTTTTTTTAAACACCAAGATATATTTAAGAACATCTGGCTTTCTTTTCACCACTTATTCCCATCTTCTCTGGATAATTAATTACTTTTTTTTAAAGTGCGATAGCCTTGTAGGTGGTGGTGGCATTTGCATTTTACAGGTGAAGAAATTGAGACTCTAAAAAGTTAAGTTGAGGAGGGTGACAGAGACTCTAGCTGGCAGAGCCAATACTTAAACAGAGATCTTCTTGCCCTTTCATGTTCTCTGTTCTTTTTGCCTGTTCATGCAGACATGTTATTCAGAGATTTTTATTTTAAGTTTTTGTGCCTCTTTTTCTACCAGTGCCCAGGTTTTGCAAAGCTGAAAAATCTGGTCTGTGCTTTTAGTTCTGGAATTTAAAACCTGCAGCTTTGTTTTCAAGGTATTCATGCTTTATGAGAGATTTAAAAAGTGTTTTAACCATCTTCAGTAAATTGTATGTGGACAATAGTCCACTGCTTTGTGGTCAGAGTGTTCACCCTAATATAGAGTTTTTTTGAGTACTCACTCAGGTCATCATCTAAATAGTTATTGTTTGGTGATGCCTTAGGATTATTGAGGTATGTAGGATAGTTACCCTCTACATTTAATGATTTGATATGACTGTATTTGAAGTTTTTGACTCTTTTTATAGTCCATTTTCCTGCTTCCATATTAGCTGTCACTTCTTAATGATATCAAATATGCTTGCTGTCTGTACCCTCTCCCAAATATTATTTACTGCTTCCATTTTTAAAAAAAAATAAAACTATATAGAAAACTAAGACTCTGTACAGTTGTTTTGAGAGTGAGAAATGTCTAAGAGCCTGTTCTATATTGGGGTATGAGCTTTAGGGTGTGTGTATATATATATTTTATTGTTATTTTGGCTGCAAAGCAGGGTTTTGATGTTCCAGATAGGCAACCTTCTGACTAATGGTGTGCTTTTTCTGGTTCATTATTTGTGCTTGTTATTTAAATAGTAGAGTAGGCTAAAATGAGAATGATGAGAGAGCATTTAGAATTTAGTAGTAACTTTTTAAGTTAGAAATATTGTAAATGTAATATTATTTGCCCATTCTTCAGTTTTATTCATCTCCACCTCAACAACTAGCTGTCTTCTCTAGTGAACTATAAACTCTTATTCTTTTTTTATTCTTCACCTTAACCTTTCTTTTATTTAATTTTCATATGTTTTTATTGATTTCGGAGAGGAAGGGAGAGGAAGAGGGAGAGAGAGATAGAAACATCAATGATGACAGATAATCATCGATCAGCTGCCTCCTGCAGGCCCTCTACTGGGGATCCAGCCCACAACCTAGGCATCACCCTGACTGGGAATTGAACCATGGCCTCTGTTTCATGGGTCGATACTCAACCACTGAGCCACACCAGCCGGGCTTAGTCTTTCTTTTCAGTTTGGCATTTTTGCTTTTTACTTCTCCTTTCACACAGTCTCCTTATTAAAGAAACCCAAAAATCCTACCTCTTATATCTTCGTTAGGAATGGGCTAACTATAACTAACAATTTCACTATGTTTTGCCCATCTCTCTTTACTCAGTGCCTAAATATTATTCTTTGTACTTTACCTCTCTATATAATCTCTCAGGACCAAAGGCAGGAAAAGACTAACCTGAGGTGTTAGGTGTTAGGTTGATGGTCTTGTAGCAGAGCCTCTCAATTCAGATACCCTTTTAAGGTTCATTTAGCATGATGGTCATTCTGTTCAATTTCTTGCTGACAATTATGTACTTTACTTTCTTCTTGGGTAATCTTAATTTTGTGAGGTTGATATTTCCTTTTGCCAGCTGCCTCCTAATGGGATACATTCTAAGGTTGGTTAGGTCTTTCCATTGTTCTGCCTTTACCTTTAGAGGTCTCATAATATCATTTTGCACCATTTACTGTTAGGCTACCTCAAAACTACTGTTTTTAATTTTGTTTTACATTCTACAGTAAGAAGAGCTGCCACATGTCTTACATTTCTGTGATTCAAAGATGTCATTAATTTTAAGAATCATTGGTTTCTATACCTGTTTTTTTTTTTTTTTTTTAGAAGAGTGAATAGAGAAAGGACATTTATGATAAATATCATCCTGATTTCAGAAACATTAAAATGATTGCATTAGAGTTAAGAAATACAATATATAAATGTGACCCAGGTTAAATTCCTTGCAAAGTCTTTCATCTTCTTTAAGTTTAACTTGCACCCGTCTTCCTGCTTGTTCTCTATCTTTTCTCATTTGCTATTGTTAAAGTCTTTGTCCAAATTCCTTCTCTCTCCTTGATTTAGTTCCTTGAACACTACTAGCTGCTTTGCCTTTAACCTTTCCTTTAGTTTCCTGCCAATTAAATTTTTCTTTTTAGAACCATCCTTTAGCTTCTCAATTTGAATGTGATACATGTGGTCCTCAATTAATGAATGTTGAGCTCAGTTAAATCATTGAGAGTCCTTTTAGAACCAGATGCTATACTAAACTGAGATTTTCTCCCAGATTTTGAGAGGCTCAGTCTTGGACTTTATTCTTGATTTCAAAGAATATTAGCAGTTAGCTCTATCCTCTCCATCTTTATTTGTAATATACTACATTCCTATTCTAATCCTCCACTCCAATAAGGCCTAATATATTTTGCAGGTCTGTCTCTCAGCTCCAGTCTCATATGTGAAACATAATCAATTCTTTTATGCTCTAAACCCCACAGTTGTAAATTCTCAGCCCTTGGGCAGAACATGGCTCATTAGATGTACCTTCTGGAGTCACACAATATTTAACAATTTTAAAAAGTGTTCTTCTTTAAAAATCAGAAGAATTGACAAATCAAAATTTCAATTTCTCTTGAAAAATTGGAACATCTGGCAATGTTGTGTTCTGATTTTTGAATGGTAGCAATCAGCTAGACCTGCATAGGTGTGCCCTCCACCCCCACCCCTTATATAGAGAATGGTGTTTGTTTTTTTTTTAATTTTTATTTTACTTCAATCAGTCCCTATCCAACTCACTTCATTTGTTTCCATTATATACTAATGCCTATAAACAATTGATTTTATAATTCTTATTATGAGCCTTATTTCGACTGAAGTGCTCAAAGATTGCTTTATTTTAGGACTGTGTTGCCATGTCAAAGCATAGTCCTAGATGCTGGAAATGTGTTAGAGTAGAGTTAAGTTTCTTAGTAGTTTCCCATTGCTTATGTGTGTGTGGGCTTTCTTACAGAGTCCTAGTCACTGATTCTTATTTATATATGAGTATGTTACATGTCTCTGAACTTAGATTGTGATCTTGTTAAAGGCAGTAACTTCATTCCTTTCTTATAATCGGACAACCAAGTATTTTTATTTATTACCTGTTAGGTTTCATCAACTTGGTTAACTTCACATGGAGAGCTATGTACAGAATTATTAAGTCTATCTCTTTGGGATTGATGAGAAACTTCATTGACTTTTTTTTTCTCTCTCAAAAAAAGGTTCTGTTTATTTACAGCATTTGATAATATATTGTTTAAAAAGAAGTTACTTTGTATGCTGCAATATATTTTTGAGGGCAGGTTTATTGTGCTTTCATTTGGGTCTGTATGTAGAATCACTGGATGTGTACAAAAGTTTGGTAGGAGATTGAAATGATATACACAAACCATTTTTCTCTTCATTATCATTCTTTATACTTTTAAAAGTACTTGGTATGAGTTCTTTGCACTGATATTCATGGCCACTGAAAAGTTGGAGAAAACAGGAAGAATTTTCTATTTCTTTCTTCCACGTAAGGTAGACCAAATATTCACTAAGGTGTGTGCTGTTTTTATCTGGACATAGACATGAACACTTACAAAAGGCTCTCATACCACATTTACCCC